TCGACTTTCCAATTGATTTCTTAGTTTAATGATAAAACGAATCTTTTATTAAAGAAACGGTAGTGAAATAGTCGAAATTGGAAAAAAGTTGCTAAACTAGGAAAATTATCAAATAAAAGATTAACATGAGAATTACTGTCAATATGATGGATTTCATATTTTCTTCTTTTGTAATTAGTATTATAAATTTACAATAAATTTACAATTATTGTCAAGATTAATATTGAATTAAAATTTTTATCTAAGCAAAGACACATGATTGTATATTTATTTATTTTAATTATGACCATTTAAATTGTAATGATTTATACGTACAATATTTTTGTACAACCAGCAATTCGTGCCTTCTTTTACTCTATGAGTTTCAATTCGTACGCTAAAAGCTTCTATTAAGCAAAATGGTAATACAAACATATATAATACAGTTCAAGTAGTTTAATAGAGAGATAAGACAAACCACGTTCGCGCGCGATGCCCATTGAAAATAAAGAACTATGTAAATATACACGTTCAAACCTGTGAAAAAAATTGTATGTGCACGCGCAAATATTCCAGCATAATGAATCTACGGTGAAACAGAGATTTCACTCGTTTCACCTAATTTCTGTAGTATGTTCAACAGATACCACAGAATTTTTTTTCTAAGAATACACGCGTATATTTTTTCGAGATTCAATTCATATCGAATTAATTAATTTCGTTTTCGCAAAGCATTAAATAATAGCTGTTTCGGTACTAAGAAAAAATTCATTGTATAATAGAAAACGATGACGAATAAAATGTCAATTTCCTAAGAAGGTTTCCTTCATACTGACTCTTTTTACACAGTATGCATTCATTGTGTAGGAGGAGATCCACATGTAATCTTATTTGAAATCTTGGTCCATGCTGGATACGTATTTGGACGACTAGCTCGTCGTCTATGTAATCCGAATTGATCGTCTGAGGCAGATGATTAAATTGGATGCGAATTTCGAAGACTAATTCGTATTTCTGTGACATACACATACGCAAATAGATTTCTATATACGTAAATCCTTTACTAAGAATTTTGCAAGTGAAACATTCGAGCTAGAGATTCTTATTACACATTATATATTATGAGTATGTAGGATACTCATGCATGAAACTTAAAATAACAATAATATATTCAAGTTTTATTTTATGTAATTATTAATATATAACAAGAATGTTTGTGTACATAATTTTTGGAACAAATATATGACGATTCGTTTAATATTAATAATATTAATATACATTTTTGCAATAAAAAGGGATAACTTTTTGCCAAAAAATGTCAATTTCTTTCTAGTTTTTTTTTTTATATCGGAACAGATGATTGTTTGATCAGATTTTGTTATCAGAAATTATATTATTATTATCAATATTTAGAATATTATATGTTCATTTTGGAACTTATATTTATCATTCGAATATCTTTTTATGCATTAATAATTATACAATTTAATGAAATAATCTTGAATATGTTACGTGTATGTATATAGCATTCGTGTGTCTGTCCATTACACGTTTATTTTTAATGTACGTCTAAAACCATAACCTTTAAGTAAAACGGGAAAAATGAATTTTTGTTTCGAATGCTACAGTTTATTTAAGGATCAAATCGATTGAGTAAATTTCGAAAATATTTTCGGATGAATTCTGAAACATTTTTTATTTAGTTTCTCTTAATCTCTCAAATGAAGCTAAATAAATTGTACTTAATAAATAATTATATTTTTGAAAATAAAAATTACAAATGTTACTTGTGGTTGAAATCTATTCGAGAGAATTTTAATGTGTCAATCGTAGAAGGAATTTCAATTCTATCAGATTAGATGAAAAACCAAATTGATTCAAATGATTTGAGTATGCGGACTATATTAAACGGTATAATTATTTCCATTTATTTTAAAGAGATAGGCCAAGCCGACTAAAAGTAGGTAAAATTTTGCAAATTTTTCTCACAAGTAACTGAGGTATATAAATGTGGCTTTCATCTTTAAATTTCAAATTTTTTAAAGTTTTGAAACTTCGTTTTGATTGTAGACTGAAAAGGAAAAATCGCTGAAAAGAATTGAAAGATATTTTTTGCAAAAAGGAAAGAAGAAAGTTCTATTGATCTAGAAATTTATTACCAAAAATATGACGTACGGATTTCGAAAAGTTTTAATTATTATAGAAATAGTAATAGTTTGAAATGAAAAAACCTATTCTTACAGCCTATTCTAAATAACAAAAACATTTACATATTTATAAATAATTAAATAATTAAGATACCGAAAAAATCATTATATTTTAGAAAATATATTTTTTTTAATAAATAAAATTTTTTTACGTTTGATGTTTCAGTCCTTTGTAATGATAGAAATGAGATATTTAAATTAATGAATAAATTCGCCATTTTAGAATATTTTAATTTCAAGAGACTTAAAATATAAAGTTGAAAGTCATATTTATATATCTTAAGAAATTCTAATTTATGATTTAATAATTTCTAAATTGGTAATTATGAAAATTTTACCTACATATTTTTTGTATGGATATTATTTCTTCTTATACTCGATTCATTTTCTATAGCATTCTGAAACAATAAATAATTAATTAAACAGTTTAGGTTTTGTATGATTAAATAATACCTTTTTATGTCTGCAAAATTTTAATATTCATGTAAGAATACTTCTATGTTGCATATAATATAACATTATTTTTGTTAATATGTCAGGAAGTAAATGAAAATAAATAAATTGTCATTGTTAAAATTAAATAACATGTGTTAAATTAATGTTAAAATACTCTGTATCCAAATACTATTTCTTTCGATGTACGTAAATTTTTCCATGTGAAATTTTTAGATTTGTTAGAAAATTATTAAAATCCATTTAACGAAAGAGCAACAATTTTTATGAATATAAAATATACAGTTTAAATAGGAACAGCGATTCATTATTGCAGTTAACTATTTTTCTTGTACACACGAGGGAGAAATAAATAGGAACATTTTAGGATCAGATAAAACGATCTCTCTAAATACCAATAACTTATTGAGAAAATTATACAATTAAATGTCGAAATTAATGCATTACATATAAACTGTAAAACAAAATATGATCCTGATATTAAATTACGTTATATACTTTTTTATCCTAAAACTTTTTATTATTTTATTACTATTACTTAGTGAGTAATTACTTAATAATTACTTAGTAATTACTTAGTGAGTAATTACTTAGTAATTACTTAGTGAGTAATTATTTAGTAATTACTTAGTAGTGCTTTATATTGTTATTATTACTTTTTATTACTATTTTACATTTAATCAAAGAATGATGCCGAGGGCGATTAATTTAATACAAGTTCAATTCTCTATTAACCCTCCATCAAACAAACTTCATTTTAAAATTCTTAAAACTCATATGAATAAAATTTCAATAAAAACTTATTGTAATGTTTAGCTTTTATTGACGTTTATCTTTTTTACTATTCCACAGGATTCACAGTTCTCTTCAAGCCACACAAACCAACGTGATAACCACATTTTTCGCGTGCTTCATCATCAACGAAAACGGTAAATACCAAAATCATTTTTTCAAACTGTTTAAAAAAAAATTTGTCACAGAGATCGTTTTACCTGGTACGTTACAAAGTTAACTTGACGAGCAGATTGTTAATTGTTTCACAGTGTAACTTACGGTAGACAAATCGTCAAATATGATACGATATAATGTACTGCATATATGTAGTAGTACGAAAGTATTCGAACACTTATCATAAAAGAATTTTTATGTATTATACTACGCATTATTGTCTGTATTATATAAAACATTTTGAAATTTCATTAACATTTTAATGAGACAGTTGTATTGGTGAAATTTCAATCCAGTCTGAAAATGTATATAAAAATTAGACATTTCTAAAAATATATATGTAATATATATTTAATATATAATAAATAAATAAATATATTATATATATATGTATATTAATGTATATGTAAAAAATTAATATGCAGCATAAATAGTGATCTTGTTGTTAGCATAAGTATAATAAGTGTCAAAGCTAATTCCGCTGAATATTGAGATTTAATACTCAAATACTTAAAAATCTACTAATATTTTTATTGTTTATTTTATTCATTACTCGTACTAAATATTTTTATAATTTGTTTAAACAAACATAATTATGATAATAATAGATGTGATGAATATGATAGATAATGTAAATGAAATATCAAAATGTTTTATATCATACTTGTAATATGTTCATAAAAGTTTATAGAAGTATGCTTCCATGATCGAATACTCTCAACCATATATATATGGCCTACTCAAAAATTCAAACCTCGATGATAATTTAGTTTTCTGAAAATTTCTTAACTTTAACACTAGAACTATCAACGATTAAAATATAAAATTTCCACCAGACATATTACTTTTAGTAAAGAAGAAAAAAAAAAAAAGAAAAAAAGCTTTTATTTATACATTTTATGAAACATCTTTTAAATATCTAGAAATTATAACAATCTAGAAATATTTAGAAATTATAAAAATCTAGAAATATTTAGAAATTATAAAAATCTAGAAATATTTAGAAATTATAATAATCTAGAAATATCTAGAAATTATAATAATACAGAAATATCTAGAAATTATAAAAATCTGGAAATATCTAGAAATTATAATAATCTAGAAATATCTAGAAATTGTTATACTCGAGAATGAATATCTTGAAAATATACTATTAAAATATATCTAACTAAAATTATAAATTAATCATTTTAACCACACTGGTAGTCCTAGTGTTAATATTAGAAATTGTTGCTCCATTCATAGCTTACAAATTCGTGTATCTACAGTGACAGATAAAAAGAAGTTTAAACTTGGTTTGTCTACCAAGTAATACATGTATAAATAAAATCACAAATATATCCCAGAAATATACTTAAATATCATATGAATATATTTAATATCATCTATAATATTAAAAAAAAAATTATTAACTTTTATATTTATATTATAACCTCTATATATACTTCTACTTTGGACTAAACATCTTTCTTATCGACATTAATAGCAATCATGTGTTTTGCAGTTTATATCTATTCGACATTACATCTATTCATTCCTTTTATTAAATGTAACTCTATTTTACAAAATTACGGATTTTACGAATCTCGTGTTTTCAATCTTCCTTTTGTTCGTCACTGTATAGCTTCACCGATAAAAGAAACATTTTCTAAACATATACCATTTTTCGTTACACTGCGAAAAAGTTAAATTAACAAAATTATTACACAAACGCGATTCCATTGCCGTGCGACAAAGAATTTTTCGGTTTCCTTTAACGCGTTCTCAATCGTCTGGAACCGATCCTCGACATTCCTATGCCGAGTTCGATAAAACTCGAGGCTGGATGTCGTGAGACACAGGAGTTCCCCTGGAATTTCGTAGAGGGGATGAAAGAAGTCGAGGAACGTGTCAGTTTTTTTGCGGCTTTATCAGCCGGCTGGCCGGGGGTGGTAATTTGTTGAAGCCCGCGTTGTCGAAGACCGGAAGTAGGTCCCTGACTCTTTGTCCAGCACCGATGGCTGCCAACTCGAGCCATCTGAAACGATGTCGGACCCCGTTGAAAAATGAACCGCTTCCTATTCGATTTTTATTACTTTCCGGAGAATAAGTGCTCCATTTTCGTGCCACTAGCGTTAAATTTAGGATCCAAGGAATGATGTTTCACTTTGATTAATTGAACAGTGTGTCGTGCATGTGATTGAAAGGCTTGAACTTCTTCAAGTTCGAATTAAAATTGGAATGTGACATGTTTTTGTGTTAAAGCGTAACACTTTAACAACATTTGTACACTGTATTGACTAAATGTGCAATATCTACCAAACGTTATGGTTATTCACCTTTTGAAAGCAAGAGTACTGGATTCCATAATTGTAATTCATAATTAATTCATGCAACTATAACGAGTTTATCTTTTTTTTTTTATTTGGTTGAAATTTTTTGAATGAATATCTCCTTTTTTTCGTGCATCGACTCTCTCCTTCATTTTACGTAGAAAAGTACTAGGACGGTATCACGTAAAAGTATTAAAAGTATCAAAGTACGTGAAAATAGCACGTAAAAATGTATTATCCTAAAAGTAAAAGTATTAGAGGAATATTGTACTTTATAAGATATTTGAATTTTAATTTTATGAAAGGCAAGATAACGTATTATTTTTGAGTTTGTTTTCTTTACATATTACTTTTTTACATTTCTTTACATAGCACTGATAAAATATTTAGTGGAAACGCGCAGCACAGAAAAAATTATATACGATATATATTGTATTATCTAATAATTACATATTACTCTAATATTTATATTATACCGTACATAATATATATTGTAAATATATAATATAAATATTCAGTAATATATAAATTATTGATATGTGCGTGATATTCTAACAGTTAACAAATTGTTTTAGAAAAAAATGTGCAAAATTTAAAAATTCCTAAAAAGTCCTAAATCAATCAATTGCGAGGGACTGCACATATATTTCTATTCTCAGAATTTGGTCTGTTTGAATGTTCTAAAATTTGTCAACGATATTAAATTATCAATGCACGATAAATTTTCATTTACCACTGATTATTTTCTAAAATTAGAAATAGTTATGAAAAATATCAAAATGTTTAATTCATCGACAAATTGTGATGACGTCAATCGTCACTGCTGAAGCATCGTATATAGGATATACATTTTTACAAAATTATTTTCCAGAATTAAGACAGTCGCGAGAAAAAATCTAGATAAAGAAATTATAATGATATTAAGCGTACCCAAAGAGTTAAATATAGAAAGCACAGAATTAAACACGGAGTTAATAGACTTCTCAAAAAGCACGATACGCTAACGAAAATTACTAGCTGGCAGAAATTCAGCCGTGCCTTAATAATTTGTGAAACGTAGCTGCATGAAACCACGCTTGTGTCCACCCGTGTCTCCGCGCCATAAAGTGGTCATTATCTCGACATAAATACAGGATAGAATGTATATTTGCACGTGAACCAAGTTCAGGCTTGGAACTTATTCGTTCCCAGCGATTTGCGGCCGCTTTGTCGCCTTTCAAGCAGAAACAAACGTAGATTCCGATGCCGCGGCGTTTGCTAATTTAAGCTTCGAATTGTAAGCAGCTAGAGCGTGGCTTTTATGATTCTATGAGCGTGGCGCGTGTTCCACCTATAGCCGCCTATTTTCCGCCAGAGCTAATAATCTCGCAGCTGATAAACAGCTAAACTCGCGAACGCAACGCCGTTTCCAACTATCGTCGTCTTTTGATAAAACGCAGTTGACTCGATCGAATTGACGTTTCGCGCATTAACGTCCCTCATTCTTGTGGATAAAGTCCAGGTTTAATTGGCGAGAGGGATTTTTAAACTCGCGTTATTCGTTTAAGTGGCTTGATCGACGTTGAAAAGTAATAAATAAATTGAAATGCGAGACACCTTAAAGCTTGCACGTTCGTCTTTTTTTTTTTTTTTTTGTTGATTTCGGGAAATCTCTGCGATTTTGTTCATTTTCGCAGTAAAAATATAGAAATTTAGGTATAAATACACAAATTTCGGAGTAAAAATATACAAATACAAAAATATACAAAGGGAATGTTACAAATATTCCGAAAATCAAAGACCTATCCACGATCATAATCTTTTTATTTTATAGCATAGTTCTTTCACGTGCATGAAGTTACATGCAACTTTCAATCGACGTATTAGGCTTGTTGATATTTTTCAAGCTTATAGTTTACTTTCGGTCAAAAGATTATTCCTTATTCTTTAATTTGATCAAAGATTTGACCAAAAGATTTGATCGTTGTTTCTTTTCTCATTTGAAGAATATTTCAATTTTTTAAATAAATATATAAATTTAATGTAAATTTTGTTATAAATATAATTTAGCAATTGCGTAATATCGATGAACAAAAGAATCGATAATATTTTGGTATCTGAACAAATAAATTATAGATAAAACAATGATATGTTGATGACTATACTATCATTATGTGATTTTCAGCGTTGTTAAGCAATAATGTTTAAATTATTACGCCATACAATTTTCGGCGTTACTGTGAGTGTCATGCGATTTTCAACGGTTAGTTGATTCGAAAATAGCAAGGTCATTAGAAATGTTATATTCATTTAGTAATTTTGATATACTAATTGTTTCTTTATACAGGGTGTCCGAAATATAACTGTAAATTTCGAGAGGATGCAGGAGATGACTTGATACGTTAAGAAAAAAAGTTTTTTTCTAGAGATTTGCTCGTTTTTGTTCCATTTTGTAGAAAATCGTGAAAAAGGAAACAAAGAAAGTTTCCGTTTTTCCACTTATTTAGGTTGTTATCCATTTTATCACTTATATTATCATCTATAATGTCATCTATCTAATGAAGATCCTGTTTAAAATGCTAGTCTTTCATAACAATGCAAACATCACATCGAATATTGACTACTCTGATTGCAGCTACATATTTTTCTAATACACTAAACTGCTTGAAATCAAATTACGATTTTTCAGTTGTTCTCTTGAGTATTTTTCGAGAAGAGAAAAAATGAGAACTTCTTTCTTTCTCTTCTCGCGATTTTCTCGAAAATGGAGCAAAAACAAGCAACTCTCTAAAGAACTTTTTTTCCTCAAGTTGTCGCTTCCGAAGTTTTGACATTTACAATTCAGGACACTTTTTATATAACAAAAATCACATTTTGTAAAGTCTTAATAAAGCTTGTCAGCGTCTAGTGAAAATCACTACTAAAAATAGCCGATCGTCATATTATTAATGTTGAGTTTCTTTTAAATCATTTTCGACACGTTATAAGGTTTAATAAATTTGTAAAATTTACTTATTTTTTCCTGTTTGTGTGCTCAAATTGACTTGTTGCTGGTGTTTATAAATATTAAAAAAAAACAATTTACGCGAAACAAACAAACAAATAAATTTGTCCGATGCTGAAGAAATGCAATAAAACAATAATAAAAAAATAAATAAAAGCGAAACAAAATCCATGCAAGAGCGTGTATATGAAAATAATATTTATTTTTTACGTTCGTTTATTTACAATTTCCTGTAACGATGTGTTTTGTTAAAGCAAGGGAGACTTGAAGGTAAACTGTTACACGCCAAATAAAAAGGCCGACAAAGAAGAAAGAATGACTGATAACTCATTACCATGCCCCGTTATCAGCACACAACTTAAATAAATAGAACATATAAAGCTGTGATAGCAACAATTATTGTTTACCTCTTTATCTCTTAATGAAAAAAATATCAGACGTGAGCTTGAGCGTGTACAGAAAACGAGACACGTGGAGCAGAGAATTTGTTAATATTTTGTTCTAAATTTAGTTTTGTTCTAAATTTAGTTTTGTTCTAAATTTCTCTTGCGCTGAAATGACGTGCCACATACGTCGAGAATATTTGGCCGAAGATTTTCTCAGTTTTACGTATATTTAAATGTAATCCAGGCAAAACAAATGATAAGTTGATTACTTCTTAATAGTTTAATAGTATGCTATTAGTATTATATTTAATATATATTTAATAAGTATAGTATAGTGTAATAATATACTATTAGTATTATATTTAATAGTATAGTATAGTGTAATAGTATACTATTAGTATTATATTTAATAGTACAGTATAGTGTAATAATATACTATTAATATTATATTTAATACATATTTAATAGTATAGTATAGTGTAATAATATACTATTAGTATAATATTTAATATATATTTAATAGTATAGTATAGTGAAATAGTATACTCTTAACATTATATTTAATATATATTTAATACTATAGTATAGTGTAATAGTATACTATTAGCATTATATTTAATATATATTTAATACTACTATAGTATAATAGTATACTATTAGCGTTATATATTATACAATATTATACAATATTATATATTAGTATAGTATAGTGTAATAGTATACTATTAGTATAATATTTAATATATGTTTAATAGTATAATATAGTATATTATAGTCTTAATAGTACCTTTCAGTGATATCGTACGGACAAGTTCAAAAGAAAAAGAAAAAAGAAAGCGACGAATTACTTTACACATCGGTTTGGTCACTCGTTATGGTCCGCGAATCAGTTGCCAGGCGCAAGGGGGTTGAACAAAACTATTTCTCTTTTCTGATCCAACTGCTAGAATAACAGAGTTGTTGGTTATCTATATATTTATTTCTCTATACCTGGATAAAGTTTACGAAACAGCCAATTGAAAGGTGATCAGAGAGAAAGTTGATCAGGCGACAGCGGGAGCAAGGTGATGTCGGGAGCCCCCGATAAATTGAAATTGATTTGGATAGGTTGACGCGGGGAAAGCGTGCATACGTATGTATGTATGTATGTATGTATGTATGTATATATATATATATATATCGCGAGGCATATGCGAGCGCGCACGTTCGTTTCCCACCTGTTGTTTTTGTATTTGGCCAAAGGTTGAGCAGCCGGATGGGGCGTTTCGGTGGGGAAATATGTGGCCCCATAAAAATCCAGACCACGGCTGAGCAGCGTCGAGGTCTCCTCCACGCTGGCCAGGGTGACCCTTATAACCGGCGGCCCCGTGTAAATCGTCGCTGGCTCGTTCTGGGTGTGAGCGTCGCTTTTCAGCTTGTCGTTGATCGCTTTCACTAATTCACAAAGCAGACATCGGGTCAGCGGGCACGCGGTTGGAGAAATTAATTCGATTGGCGGACGTTCCAGGCGAATGCCTGGAATTAATGTGACTAATTGCATTAAGCCCGCGATTTTCACGTCGCGTTTTCTGCCAGTGCGATTCCTCCGTTGCGCGCCGTTTCTTTTTCTTCCTTTGTTTCATTTTCTACCCCTTTGTTTCGCGATAGCTTGACTTCAACGCGTGGAATTGAAACCGATATATAATAAAGTTACACCGATACAGCCGATAATATAGAGATTGGTACGGAGTTGCTCACGGAAGTATTCAAACGCTCAGAAGAACTTCAGTATATAATATATTAATTAATATATAAATAAATATATCAATATATTTAAATATATATTATGTATATTATTATTTATTAATAAATACATTATATAGTGCACTGCATAAAACAAATTTCATGAAGAATATCATTTCACAGAGAATCGACTGTGATACATACATTGAATAAGTTTAAAATAAACTAATTTGAAATAATCTGAAGATTACGAGATATTTAGGTAATGCAAATATATATAAAAGTATTTAAACAGCCAATTATTATTTAGCCATATTTAAAACTTATTTTGTGCTCGAAATAACTGTTCACGATTTTAATTTTTTACTAAATATATGTTTGCGATAAACAAATTCTTTTAACTTCTGTACACATTTTCTAACTTTTCTAACTTTTCTAAACCAGATTTGTTTCAAATTTTACCAATATAATTTACTATATTCACGATAGTTGCGTCTTGTTACAGTAATGATAAGTAATAATGATCTCAAAATGTTCCATATGAGATATAATCAGTACGAACGGTTCCAAATTTAAATTAATCCATATAAAATAAGAGTAGTTTCGATTCATTTTATGGATATTTTTTACATAATTTGTAAATTAAAATATCAGCGATATTTCCTGCATATGTGTGGAAGAATTAAAATATATATATAAATGAATTAAGTAAACATTACTTAAAGTAAATTAAACTCTCAATTACTATATATACAACAAGGCGAATAAAACTTTTTCTGATAATAATAACAACAACAACAACAACAACAACAAAAACACATTTTGCATATTTTAATATACTCACAGTGATTGTGATTAATATACTCACAGTAGTAGTAGTTCCCAAACTTTTTCTTCTTTACTTTGGTTCTCCAGTAAACAAATATAAGAAATATCATCATTTTTTCAGAACAATTTTAATACTGTATAACGATTTTAACCAATAAAGTAATGAATAAATAAAATATTTCAAATCTTTCTCCTTTTCTTAAATACTTGAGATATTCCAATGTATGTACGTCTTATTTTTACACTTTCAAACAATGCTTAGAACTATTGTCTAATGAATTAATATCTTGATTATTAAATTATTATTGGTGTATTATTAATTGAATTAAGTGAATACATCCATATATATAATTCTTCGTAACAAATATAAGTGTAATCACGATTTTAATTATGGAGAAAGAAATATTTGTCTATTATACTAAACTATCTATTGTGTCTATAACAAAAAATATCAGTACTTTTGATTTTTAGTAATATATCAGTTTCTACATAATATCTGTGGCAAAGACATGCTTCAAATCTCGAATTTTAGGTAGAAACTCTGACTTTGAACGGTCCGATATTATATTTCGATCAAATTATCTTAAAAAATACTCGCAATATAACAAGTCGTTCTGATACAAAATTATAATCATCTACAGTTACTTTAGTAAATATTTGGACATTAAAATACTATAACATTGTCAACAAAAAAATCGCTTATTTGAAAACATGAGGCCTCTACTTTCATACTTCTAGATTCATCTATTTTTAAAGATGCTTTTTTCATCGTGTAATACGTAGAGAGATGAAGATTCTTTTTTCCTCTTACAAATTCAAACATTTCTAGAAACATAAAAAATTTTTTTCATGGCTAAATCTAGAGCGAACTAAACTTTGAATGTTTGAGTTTAAGCAGCGAAATATCAGGTTTTCTTAAATTTTCGTTGCTTAAACCTAATATTCAAAATTTAATAAAATCGCACGTCAAGTTTTGAAAAGAAAAAGTTGCACTCTTCAATCTGTAGTAATTCCAGTCATTACGAAGATTATAAAGTACGAACATCTATGGCAATATTTCGTATAGTGATCTATTGGCAGAGTAATAAATTACTTTGCAATCAATTACTAAATAGTACTCATAGAAATCGTAATTGTTAATCAATTAATCATTGTTGAAAAAAATCGGTAATCTTGTAATTAATTTTTGTAATATGTAATCATTAATATGTAATCATTTGGTATTTTTTAAATTAAGTGATTAACTTATATTTTATTACGATCTGTAGTGTATTTCATCACACGCTATAATACGTAAAATGTATAGAAATGTACTGTTTAATATAATTAAATATTATTATTAAACCGCTTGCAGTTTCAGACCCAAGAGTAGAGAGAATATTTATGCATAATAGTGTTGAATTTAAAATAATTTGTTAAAGTTTATAATTTTCTTGATATGTTTTTGGCTTTTTTATAAGAATGAGCGCGTATCATACTGAAGAAACTTAAAATTTTTATCATTCGTTCAAAACTCAAAATCCATCTTCATCAAGTCGTACAGAAGATCGATTCAATCGATGAAAAATATTTTAAATATCCTGATAAAATTGTAAGGTTGCACACATTGCAAAACAACGCAAATACGTAGTTTTATAAAAAAAAATAATATTGTCGATAGAATTAAACTGATGCAATCGTAATCAAAAGTGTAATCATTTTATGATTAATAATTCTGATTACGTCCCTTATTCATTAATCAACGATTATTTGATAATCAGTGATCACGATTAATATTCTGATTCCACATTAACACATTGTTGACCGGCAATTTTACGCAGGAGCTCATGTCACTGGCTATTATTTCGTAATTGAGTATGAAAGTTAAACAATCTAAATAAACTTCGATATACCTTTTTTTATACAGAATGAATTTAAATATCTTTCATGTATATTGTATTTTATATATATAATTTATATTTAATTTATATTATATTTTATAATTTATATTATAATATATTTAATCTATATTATATTTTATAATTTATATTATAATATATTTTAGTAATTTTTTTTTTTGATGTGATGAACTGTATAGCAATTACCTATATATAATGGTACACAATAGGTTTTGCAAATTTACCGTTTGAAAGGTCCAATATCCGATTCATAACTGTCTTCCGATAAACTATCAATTTCCACATCACTATATTTCAAAATCACTCAGATAAAGCATCTGCATATAATTCATTAAAAAGTTCTTCACGGTCACGATCCGTCATTATTGAGATTTTTGCTAAAAATTGCAATAAAAACCTAAATATCAATAAAAGTAATTTTTCTTTACGATAAAGTGAACACGACAAATATCTTGCATTACGCTGAGTGTCAAAAATTAAAATAGCTAATGCAAGTGCAAACGCGAGTTAACTCGTGGCTGGTCAACAACGTGTTAATTATAGTCGGTGATCATTTATTGTATATAAATAAACATATATTGTATATAAATAATATATATGTACATGCATATATATATATATATTTATAAATTTATAATTAATTTATAAAAATATATATTCGTTTTTTAAATAGTAATATGTGTCTGAAAATGATAAAATATTTATACATAATTTAATCAGGTTACGTTTTGCCCAATTTTATCTATCGACAACGATATCGGCGAGGAATACTCACAGACAGTGCCGGTGTTGAGAGGCAGCCGCGTAACTTCGACTATAGATCGGTACTTGTAGAGAGCGTGTCTAATATCTTCTTCGGGTAATTCTTCAGGTACGTCCAAAACGTAAACGGTGAATGTCTTCGCCGGTCTGCAGGGTATGGCAACCTGCGTTCATGAATACGAAACGTCGTATTTAGAGCCGTTCTGAAGAGGTGGTTCCTTTGTGTACCGAGAGATAAGTACCTTCTTGTAGAAGCGTGCCCCGGTGACTTTGTGGAAGCCCTTTTTGTAGACCGCCTGAAAATCGTCGATGTTGCTGAACTTGAAGAGTATACCGGTGGCCGTCTTCGTCAGGGAGAACGCGCCACTGTAATGCAAAGCGACAACCACGGTTTATCTTTCGTCTTCTTTCTTCTCTGCCTGTTTTCTAAATTATCTATCTGGTGTAATCAAATACCTTGATTACCAGAAACTAGAAGAGCCTTTGAAAATTGTGGAAATTTGAGAGAAACTGTGTTACAGCGAGGAGCATAACTGAATCAATAACGATGAAAAATTATCGACAATTTGGACTGTTGTAACTTTGTGAAAGAAGATCGTATAGCAACTTGATCTCATTTTAGAGGGATTTCACAATCTTGATTTTGTTTTTTCTAAAGATGATTTTGTATCATGTAGCACTTTTCTCTCGAAAATTGTAAAAATTTGAATTAAAAGCATTAATTAATTAATGTTTGCAAAAATTATCTCTGAAAGCATTGAAAAATTTTTTTCGTGATTAAATCCATTATCATCGTGATAACCAAAGAAGATTAAAACCGTCCCTTTAAAATTATCTCTTACCTTGTAAAACCTGATGTAAGATTTCTTTTACCATTTTATTGAACTTTAAACATTAGGATTAAATGACGAAATGTTAGGATTTCAAAAATTTTTGTCGTTGAATCCTGATGTTCAAATTTTTTAATCCTGATATGCTGAAAAAATATAGCAAGTTCTAAAGACCCGGTATAAAAGAGAGTTTCTTCATTGTTAGAATTATTAAATGATTTTCCTTTAGGAAATTATAACAGTTCATCATTTATCATCATTGTTGGTTCATTTATGCTCTTCATTATTATTATTTACACGATTTGTTTAAATAATTAACTAATATCTTGGATTTAGCAAGATGTTAATATGACAAGGGGCATAATAAATGATACCTTTTGCACTTTCGAAGAACATATAATACTTAGAAAATTATTTCAGATATCTGGACTTACCAAATTTTTGCACCAAAATGTCAGAAAAATTAATGAAAAATTTGCAGGATTCAATCTTTCTTAGAAAATAAAAGCGTATTTATAAAACCCACTACAGAAATAAGACATTTGATTTATAATTTTTATTATCAATGATTTCTTCTTCAATATTTGCATTCTCAATGATTTTTGATCTTCACGACGAGATCATTATATTAAGATTATTCAGAATTTTCACATATTTTTAGTAAAATTGAAAGGTTTAAATTTTTCTTACAAATTTTATTAATTATTTATACTTTGAGTGCGAATTCTGGGAGACACTTCCCAGGGAAGTTCTTCCAATTTTGGAAAATAATTTTATTTACACAAACAGGAACGATTTTTGCACTTGTTTGTAATTATAGTGTATTTAAATAATGAAGTCTTAATTTGTAGATGAATAAATATATAAATTCATTTGATCAATGAAATATTATGTAATGAATATAATTATAAATACTAATATAATTATAAATATAATTATAAATACTAAATAATTATAAGTACATAATGAAATACAAATATTTAAAATGTTTGGCATTTAAAAAAATATACAGTTCCATTTCAAAAAACAAAGGCCACCTTAAAATCTCATTTACATAAGATTTGTGGCCACCATAAGATGCCCCCATCGAAACAACATAAGTTTAATTTGAAATAATTTTCTCTATAGCGAATAGTTTAAGAGAAAATTGCATGGGTAGCTTCATATGAGACAGCATATATTATCTGATATTTTATTGTTTATTGTTCAATTTGAGATAATGCTTTATTTGGAACTGTTATTAATCTTTATTTTGTAAAAAAAAATTGAAGAAAGGAAACAAACATGGCAAAGCAATGTGTATACAGCATGCCAGAAAGGAAACATATTGCAATTGAAATAAAGGGAGGAAATTAATTTAATTATTAAATTCACGTACATGTCTGCAATACTATATAGACATGTATACTTGTATGTATACCAGTGTGTATGTATTTGCATACTTTAATAATCAATAAAATTTCTTATTAATTCGCAATCTAGTCCTAAAAATATGTAAAATATTGAAAATTGTGAATGATATTAATCTAATGGCCAAAAGCTACAAGTACATAAATACTTGAACAATTCTAAATTATTGCGAACATATAAAATAGAATTCAGACGAATGTTTTCTTTTAATTGCAACATTTAATAGAACAGTTAAAATTAATTAAACAACAATTTAATTAAACATATCTTTAATAACATTCGAAAAGTTTATATAAATTGTATGAAGTGCGAGCCATTTATTAAAAGTGAATATGTAGACATTTTTAAATTTAACGAATTTAAAGAATTTCAGCTCTTAAGTTATAGTAAGATGTAAAAAATTAATTAGTAATACTTGTCCATCGTAATTCGTAACTATAGAAATAAAACAAAAGTATTGCCAATCTTTGATAGAAACTGCATAAACAATAAGTGTTATTTATGCACGATATCATTATTATTTTATTATCGAGTGCTTTAGATCACTCGTTTCCAGTCTGTTTACCGTTATGTGATATACTCGGACTATTTTAGAAATGGATACAATGATAGAACAGCAGTTTCTAAAGAATAGATCTAGTAAAATTTCGAAGATCACATTGTGCAAATTTAAAAGTTGTTATAAACGCGTAAAATTTGATTAATTCTAGCGCCAATCAATCGACAATGTACAGGGTGAGTCTCGTAACGTGACGACATCAAATAACTCATAAAATATTTGTCGTAGGAAAAAATGTTCAGATAAACGTTGCATGGCTTTCAGGGGGACATATAGCATTGTAATCAGTTTTATGTTATTTTGCTTTTTTATCAAGGTATGTTGGTCACCTTCAATTTTTTAAATGGATTAGTTAATATTTCTTCCCGAATTCGGACAAAGCGTTGAATTCTACATAAAAAAGTATTATACCAAATAGAGTCTAAAATACATAGTTACTGAGATTAACGGTCTTTCCTAATACAATGTAAAAAAATATTTTTGCTAATATCTCAGTAACTATGTATTTTAGATCCTATTTGGTATAATACTAAATATTTTTGCTAATATCTCAGTAACTATGTATTTTAGATCCTATTTGGTATAATACTAAATATTTTTGCTAATATCTCAGTAACTATGTATTTTAGATCCTATTTGGTATAATACTAAATATTTTTGCTAATATCTCAGTAACTATGTATTTTAGATCCTATTTGGTATAATACTAAATATTTTTGCTAATATCTCAGTAACTATGTATTTTAGATCCTATTTGGTGTAATACTTTCTTGTGTACAATTTAACGCTTTGTCCGAATTCGGGAAGAAATATTAACTATTCCATTTAAAAAATTGACGGTGACCAACATACCTTGATAAAAAAGCAAAATAACATAAAAGTTTTTTATGTAGAATTCAACGCTTTATCCGAATTCGGGAAGAAATATTTACTATTCCATTTGAAAAATTCAAAGTGACCTTCATACCTTGATAAAAAAGCGAAATAACATAAAACTAGTTACAATACCATATGTCCCCCTGGAAGCCATGCAACGTTTATCTGAAACATTTTTTCGTACGACAAATATTTTATGAGTTATTCGATGTCGTCACGTTACGAGACTCACCCTATAAAAATACTACATTGTTAAAATACAAAGTTTTTACTGAAAAGCGGATTTGCTCGGTTTTTTTTTTAAGTCAAATCCTCGACTGACTCGTCATTAGTTAATTTTATATTTAAATTCTCCCGGCTACTCGATTTACTCGGCCTATTTACTCGTATGCAATTGTACTTGAATTCGAACTCTGTATTTGAGCTAATTGTACCACAAAACAATTTAATGGCTCGGTTAAATTTCATAAATTAGTTAGTTAGTCATCCATTAAAATGGAAATGTTGAAGGCAACGAGAATTTCAATTAAATCGAGACACACTTTTCGGCCTCGTAATCGTTGTGATTTACGTATGCTGAATCAAGACATTTTTGAATAAAGGCATTTCAGACAGTACGATACGTCATTTTGCTGGTACGGTATTAAAAAAGAAGAAAAAAAAAAAAGAACTTTTATATGGAACGAAAATTGATCGCGTAATGAATTTGTAGCTTATTTTGTCGATATTATTCGGTTGACAAATTGAAATATTACAAGAGAACGAAATAGTTTGTTCAATCGAATCCAAATTTAATAAAAATTGGAAACTAATTATTTTTGCAAGACTAACTGTCGATTAAAATTCGAAAGTTTAATCAAATTCTTGGAAGGCTAAAATTAAGAGAAACATACCTGAGGAGCTTCGTGAAATTCGAGTTTTAAAAAATCGAAGTTAAAAAGTTGCGAAACTAAGCTGAAGATCTATAACTCAATTTGAAATTTGTAGCTAACTCGAAATTACGAAACTCTGTTTGAAAAATCCCCCCCCCCCCTTAGAACTTTAAATTGACGTCTTAATCCTAAAAAAAAAAACTCATGAGCTAATCTAATGTTTAAAATCTAATCTTAAACTAATCTAATGTTGAAAAATTTTGAAAAATTTAATTTCAACATCTAAAAATATTTTAATTCGAGGAATGATCTTTTATCAACAAATTTATCATATTGTGATAATGCCAGAAGTAACACGAAATGACCAAAATGATTAATTTATAATTTCTATTAGATATTTTATACATCTAAAACAGTATATTTTTAGAGATTTAAATCAAATTTTAGAGATCAGTCTCAACAACAATAAGAATGTCTTAATTAATAAACTATGTGGAATGTGTTATTTCCCTCCCCACACAATGGACTTCTTTTTAAGCAAACCATATATTACTCCTCTGTTGATTATTCACAAATTTCTCAAAAGCCATGGTTGGCATTTGTAACGGATCGAGTGCCTAGCTGTGTTTCTCAGTGACTTAACAGTTCTCTTAGTTTTAGTTCTAAGCTCTAGTTATAAGTATGTAAATAGCAAACATGTATCTTAGTTGTATATCAGTATAATCCTTGTACAAAAGTCTGTGAAATTGTTTCTGTGCTGTTAGCATGCACAGCAATGTGCATGCTGCTAATAACCCTGTAGAAGGTTCTATAGCGTAAATAAAAAAGAAAAAAAAAATTTTAGAGATTATAAATAAAAAAACTTGCGAACACTATTATATTAAAAAATTCTTATTATTATATTAAAATATAACTATATTATTATATTAAAAAATCTTATACTTTAGTCGTTGGTAGTTCTAGTGTTAAATTTTACAAAATTACAGAGCTTAGATGGAAGTCATAATGGTGAAAAAATACTTATACAATTAAAAAAATGTAAATCACGAATCGCCAACATCACTATCGTCATATTGTAATGACAAAAATCACTCGTCTGCAATGAGCCTGAAAGATCTCGTACAAAAGAAACAAGTTGTTTATATTTGTTTCAATTTTATCAACCTGATCACGATATAATTCGTCATCGTAAAATGATGGTCTTTAAAACTTTTTTTAATTGAATACAAACCAAGTAATAATCTATCATATTTAATAAATATTTCACTCTCTGAAAAGATATTAAGCAATTCCTTTGAATTTTCTTTCATAGATATTAAAAATTAGAATTTGATAATATAAATTGATCGAGAAGAATTGCGAATGAAATGATGCCTTCATGCAACATTGATCTTTAATCGATTAATAGAGAAAATACTACTCTAGCTTCGTATAAAATATTTTAGAGACTCTTATTTTAGATAACTCTTTCGAATAGAGTTATATACAGTGATTTTTATCAATATTTAAACACTACACTATAGTATATAAAGAAATTATTCTATACATTTATTTATACATTATATGTATTAATCAAATTTTTTTAGTTATTTAATATTAAAATACTTATTGCCATTGCTAGAAACATAGATTTTATTTATTTAATCTACACAGGTTTTTGTATAAAAAGAGGTGAATCGAACAATGAAATTTTTCATTGTAAAAGTATTCGAGTTTATAATAATTTTGTATATTATAATATACAAAATTGTATACAGTGGTGAGCAAAACTGAACACACATATGAATTTTTAGTATTAATAATATTTTATCGGGTGTTTATATATAGAGTACAAGAAAAAGAACAAAATATGTACTGTTTTGTAGGATTTATACTACTGTGGACCTCGTTAACATTACCATCCTGATAAGTGTAAATTGTTTTCGTGGAGTCAGTAGTTTTGCATCACAATTAATTTAAATGAAAAATTGTAGATATTTGTATACTGTTATAACTTCATTAAACAATCTACTTGGTCTCATTTTAGAATATAAACCTTCTGTTTTTACTACACTGAATTTTTCATTTTCTTTTCTAAGATATTTTAATACCGTGTACCAAATGGAAAAGTGTTCTTTTCTTGCAAAAAAGAATTGTAAAAATTCACACACATATAAAAACATGAAACTGAAAAATTTTATTTATGATTAAATTCGTCACGATCTTGAAAGTTTCCAATTTACAATATTTACTTTATGTTTCTTCTTCTTTTTCATTTTGTTGACCTCTGAAGTTACAAAAAAAATTTTTTAATGTCTTTACAGATGTTTGAATTTGTACAATTTTTGAGAATAATGCTCTTACTCTTTCTCACTCGCTACATGGTGTAAAAATATCTTTGAAAAAAACAGACCTGTAACAGTAAAGCTTTACGTTTTGAAACGAGACCAAGTACATTCTTATATGATTTGCTTTTACAAAGTTATAACGATTAGAACCATCATCATTATGTTTTCAATTATGCTATACTATGTTTCATATAAAATTAATATTATTTTTTCATTATTCTGATTATTTAGTTTTTATGCAGAAAGTTACACGCATTAAATAAATAAAACTTACTTTTCTATTAATTACAATAAATATTTTAATATTCGACTAAAATAATGTTTCAATTTTAACATTAGAAAACAATTAACTCAAGAACATTGTTGTAAAGAAATCGTCTTTCGAACATCGTGGTATTATTATACCACAACCATTACAATCATTAATGGATTTTAACTTCAAACGATCCTGTAGGATCTATATTCATACTTTAAATTTAAGATCAGTAAAAACATTTCAATGCTTTACATTTAATAGAAAGTTAAAGCTGTAATAAGAATAATTACAATAGATTACCCGAGGCGATTGGAAAGATCAATAAAAAGACATTGTCATTCCGGCGACGGTGAACAATCTTACCGGAAGTTCATCTTCTCGCATATAGTGGCCGCCTTCTCGATGCTGAGCTCGTGGCTCGGCGTCAACAGGAAGGCACCTTTGGTGAGAAAGTCGGTCTCGCTGATCTCCGAGTCGGTCTCCTGATCCTGCCAGTCGCCGGATGCACGCCGACTCTCCTGGTTCAGCCGTAACAGCGAGTTGTTTTTCGACGTGGACATGTCGTTTTCGCACGTGGCACTGCCATCCTGTCCCCTCTGAGACATCTTTTATACAGGGCGTCGAAGGTGGGATCGGCTGGCTCGCGATCGAACGTGACCCGTTACGCGAGATCGACTCCTCGCAAGACACGTTCTCGACGCACTGTCAGACAGTTACGCATCGATACGCTCCTTTTATACGGGGCGCAAGCTCTACGATCCCTAATCATCGATCGTGCTCGGCCTACCCACGATTTCGCTGCGATCTTAGATCAGGCTCGTTTAAAAAAATGATGTCAGGCGCTGGCAGATAGATGAAGTTTGATGGATGATCGAGAGGTTTTTTTTTTTAACAATCTTTAACGAAGAACAACGTGAGATTAAGAGGAAGAAAAATGGAGAATTAACCTCTTACGCTGGAATGACGTGCCACGTACGTCGGGAATTTTTTGCTGGAGGAAATTTTACCCCAAATTGCAAGATTTTCTCAGTTTTTATGTATATTTAAATGTAACCCAAGCAGAACAAATGATAAGTTAATTACTTCTTAATAGTTTAATAGTATACTATTAGTATTATATTAGTATTATATTAATATATATTTAATAGTATAGTATGGTATAACAGTATATTATTAATATTATATTCAATAGTATAGTATAACAGTATACTATTAGTATTATATTTAATATATATTTAATAGTATAGTATAGCATAACAGTATACTATTAATATTATATTTAATATATATTTAATAGTATGGTATAGTATAATAGTGTACTATTAATATTATATTTAATAGTATAACAGTATACTATTAGTATTATAGTTAATATATATTTAATAGTATAGTATAGTATAACAGTATACTATTAGTATTATATTTAATATATATTTAATAGTGTAGTATAGTATAACAGTATACTATTAATATTATATTTAATATATATTTAATAGTATAATAGTGTACTATTAGTATTATATTTAATATATAGTATAGTATAATGGTATACTATTAATATTATATTTAATAGTATAGTATAGTGTAACAGTATACTATTAATATTATATTTAATATATATTTAATAGTATAGCATAATATAATACTATTATATTTAATATATATTTAATAGTATAGTATAATATAACACTATTATATTTAATATATATTTAATAGTATGGTATAGTATTATAGTCCTAATAGTATCTTTCAGTGATATCATAGGGACGAGTTCAAAAAAAAAAAAGGAAACGACAAATTATTGTATGGTTCGGTCGCTCGTTATGGTCCGCGATCAGTTGCCAGCGTCAGTGGTTAAGAAAGGCTCGGGAGTTGATGTTCAAAGTTAAAAAAACTAATATAACATTATTTTTTTCTTTTGTCGATTATTCGAAAATATAAATGCAAAAAATTATTTCCAACCTATTATTCGGTATGTATTGTTTGTCATAAATAAGATACTTGAGATAAAATCATTGTCCAGGCAAATTGGATATTAGACCTAGTAGAACAATTAGATTTGCTACAATGATTAGAATAGCCATATACTTACATTCAACATAAAATCGTAAAAGTAATTGATTTCAAACGATTTTCTAACTTCAGCCGCGATCTGGAGAAATAAATTTTTCTTCTTTTACCGGTATCGATGCGTCATTGTAAGTATCAAACCACGTTATTATGTTTTTAGCATCAATATGTTTTTGTAAGTTCCAAAATATGTTTCATGATAGAAAGAAGCTTATTAGATGTGTTTAAAGTAAATAAAACACACTTATAAAACTTGAATGTATCATATAATTTTTAAAAACAAGACTTTATATATTTATTGAAAATTTTAATGTACAAAATTGCACATAATGCAAAAAGTTATATAAAATATCTAAAGAATAGCGCTGCCTGCAATATTTAATAGACAAAACAATTTCCTGTTGAAATTTATAATTAGAATCGAATAACTTAAAATTAATTAATTTATATAGAATTATGAATATTAGAATATAATGTTTTAGAATATTAATTATAATAAAAATTCTCATTCCACGTATAATTTATTGCGATCCATGTTTTTATGATAAACTCAAACTTTTATCAATTGAAAAGTTAATTTTTAGATGATTATATTGGGAGCGAATTAAATAAAATACACTCTTTTAATTAATATGTTTAATATATATATATATATATATATATATATATATATATATATAAATTGAATAATGTATATAATAATTATCACTTAAATTCACTTTCTCACAGATCAATATTACTTTTAACTCAGACTCGCAATGAATACTCTTCTTCTCGCTTCTGAACGAAAACGCATCACGTAACACACTCGCAATTGTCTTATAGCACTCATGCCTTCGCTCGACTCTCATGCATTCTCACACATACAGCATAAGACCAAATCCACATATATAATTTCAAGAAGGTGTGAAAAATAATTTGATTTTCTTTCGTTTTCAATAAATTTCAATGGACGAGATAAGTTTTCTTAAAAGTTTCTGTTTTTTGATTATAAAAATTATTGAAGGACTATCTTAGTTATTAAAAAGGTTTTGAAAACAAAAGAAATTTGATCTGCTAATTAATTAAATTATTTCTTGAAATTCATTTTTATCCTGCCAAACAGTTGTAACAAAAGCATCAAAATTATGAATGATTAATTTCTCATTCGATCGATTAGTCATGTAAAGTTTCTTATTCAAAATGTCATCCGTTCTGGTGAATGCAAAATTAACATCGTTGAATTGAGTTTATTGCCTTTTGAATTTCATCCTGATTTTCTTTTATTTGAATAAGATTTTAATCAATATCCGATTAGATGAACTTTTGCTACTTGAATCCACTTTATTTGAATTTCTATTGCATCAAGAAAAAAAAAAAATTACTAAAAGATTAGTGAAGGAAGTATTTGTCCCTTATCAAGTTCATTTAAACAAAATTTTATTGTAAATTAAATTTTTATTGTAAATCTTTTTCATTAAATCTCCAGTTAAGGTTTCCAGGGAAAATCAGTATTATTTATTGTAACTTTCTAATAATGCAATTATAACTCCGTGTTTATACAACATCTTTCTTTTTATTTTTAATCACAAAACATGCTGTCATTGTTTAACGAAATGAAGATGAAACACCCTATATAACTGTCAAGGTTAATCTTCAAGTTTACAAAAGTTTTATCATCTGAAACAAATCAACCTTGGTTACAAGTTCTTAAAATTTATATGTAAATTTGGTATTTTGCTTAAATTGTTTTCACTGTCTTATTTATTTCTTACATCATTTTTGAAAATGTTACACACGCTCTTTTTCAAAGATTTATGTTTTCAGCGAATGAATATAATCGGCAAAAATTAATATTAAGTACTGCAGAATAAATATACCACGTAGATGGAATTAGATGGGAACATTAATAGAAGGGAACATTAATAGAAGGGAACATAACAGGAATATAACTAAAGTTATAACAGAGTTTGCTTATTAGAATTACCAACCCATGATACGTAAATACGTTATACACAGATAACTTTAATTAAACTAATAAAGCAGAAACAATAGTAATGTTCAGTAATAATGTTCTCTACGTTGTAGTAAATTAACGAAGATAATTGGTACGATAAAAAAGCCGTAGTTGATCAAGTTGAAGAAATGCTGGATGACAACTTAGATCAAGGTTAATTGGTTCCAAGACGTAGTAGAAGATCACGCGAACAGGATTATTATTAATTATTATATGGAAAATAGAATGGAAACAGATTTGAATAATTTTAAAAACAAATTGATTAATATATCGTAAAGTAATATTATTCTATTAATTAAATATTTTGAACATGAATGATAATATGACAAATCATGTAACACTTATATACATATACATAGAACATGCATGTATAAAGTGCTTCACCTGATATTACATTATTATCATTATCTGCAGCCAGAAATGTTATGATGGAAAATGAATGGTTATTAAACATATGTTTTTAAATGCATTGATTGAAGCAATTAAAAATCATAAGACAAGCATTACATTTGTAATAAAAATAATAAAATAAATATCAATTATAAATCATATACAATACAATATGTACGATATAATTGAACGATATAGAAGTATGAATTATATACAAAATATGCAATATATGAAATAAATTATTGTTAATATTATATGTTATACATTAAGTTATATATTAAAATATTGTTATAAATTTATTTAATATTTAAAATAATATAATATATAATAATATAGAATAAATTATTGTTAAAATTATATATTATACATTAAATTATATATTAAAATATTGTTATAAATTTATTTACAATATTTAAAATATAATATATATAATATATAATAGTGCATAAAAATTATTGTTCAAATTATATATTAAAATATTATTGTAAATTTATTTACTATATTTAAAATAATATAATATATATAATATATAATAATATATAAAATAAATTATTGTTGAAATTATATATTATTAGAATTAATAATTATAATTATAATTAAATATTATCATAAATTTATTTACATAAATTTTTTTTCAAATTTAAATATGAAACATGCTTTGCACGGTAAAGAGTCTGTGAATATATTAGTATATTAATATATTATATTATTTGTTGTTGTATTTTTATATATTGAAGATATATTATATTATATTATAAAATATGTACACGATGATCCACAATTAGTACTGAATATTAAAAACTTTTAAGCGGAAGTATACATAAAAAATTATTAATTTAGCAGAGAAAGATGCTACAACTTTAATTTTGTATAACGTATCATGTGAACAATAGAAATAACATAAGCATTTAAATACTTTCATATTATTAAAATTAATAATTTTTCGATATGTATTGATTTAATACTGTTTCTGTATAACATACTGAGTTGCATCGATCCATTAAGAATCAAGCAATAATTTCTCACGATTTTATAAATTTCTCAATTTTTTGAAATTTCATAAAATAGAATTTAAATGGAAGATTGAAAATGTCACGAATTCTTTCTTGGAATATGCTTTTATGGCTAAACGCAGGATTTGATATAATATACATTGAGCGAATGAAATTACAAATCGTTAATGAAAATCGTTAGGAAAACAGAGTTACTTGAAACAATTTTTTCTACATTAAGAA